TTGATATGTAACCTTTCAGCTTCTTGCTCCTGTCCCCATGCCTCTCCTGACATTATGGACTTAGGTTGCTGTTGGTCAGAGTGCTTTATTACAGCAACAACAGAGTAACTAACACAGTTATGGACCTGAACAGTATTTCTAGGGTGTGTTTGGAGCCACAGCCTTAGGTCTTATAGTACTCCATTATTGGTACGGTGAAGCCTTTGCCTTTGGAGAACTTATAATCATTTTAAAAAATGAATGAGTCCTTGAGAGTGTGAGATCTTTTTTTAATAAGCCATTTTGTAGAGACTACATTGAGCAAACTTATTTGCATACAACATGGTGGTTGTCCCATTGCTTTCTGAGCATTGACCCACTTAAGCTTCAAACCTACTCTAAATGGCTGCTATACAAGCAAGGAGACTGAGTTTAACAGGGAAATGCCCTGTGGCACTTCCCTTCGTCCTACACTGCCTCACTTCTCTAGGGTCAATGACCAACCTACATAGTGATAAAATTGCTTACACTCTATCCTGCCTCTCAGAGAGCTGCATTAAACTCCCGAGGCAACACACACAATTTACATCAGTGAACACCACTGTGTCCCTTCATAAGAGATCTTTAAGTAATACCAGTGGTTTAAGACATCTGTCACTCACGAGGTCTTTCCCTGCTCCCCAACCTGGTTCCTCGGCTCCTATTCTAAAAGGAAGGATTTCCTTTTATTGCTAAATCTTGATATAAGTGATAGGTGCTGCCGGAATATAGTCCAAGAATAGAGTTGTATGAGGGGAGTCCTGAGGGCTTGTGAGAAAACTCCAAGAAAACAAGACAAGAGTCTTGTGACCTCAGTTTCTTCTAAACACAGAACTGTTCTTGGAGTGTGTTTTCATGCTCCTCCCAGGTGTAGAGGACAGGGGTGAGTTTACTTCAGCTGTTGCTATTCAGATGCCTCTATGGAAAACATGTTTTTGCCACATCCAGCTTGTCCTTGTGATTGGACACTTTACTGGGGTGACTCTTCTTAACCCTCAGAGTATAAATTGTCTGATGCTCTGAATAAAGTTGGCTATTACACTAGACTTTGGTCCACCTCATTTTCAGGCCACTTTCTCCCAGGTTCACATGGCTAACTAGGGCAGCCAACAAGGTACTATTTAAGATCTACTTCCATAGAGTCCTATTTATGATGTCCAGACAGGTTTTATAATCTGAAGAGCTACCTTCACAGGCACGTTTACTGCGATGACCTCTGATTCAAAACCCTCTGGTGGCCACATGGAGGAGTGTCTAACAATGTGATCTGTTGGTTAGCAGATAGGGACTAGAAATAACAACAGGACTACGACCTCCAACACCTAGGAACTTAGCACAGCAAGGCAGCGTGGTGAGTGCTGGCATCTTTTATTTTATAGAAATCCAAACAGTGATAAATTACTCACCTATCCTCAGTGCTGGAGCTCACTTGGGGCCGCGTGCATGCAAGTGCTCCATCACTATAGTATATCCCCCAATTTTCAACTTCTGTAGAGCTGACTACAGTCCTGGGTACTGCTCACGGATGCTGGCTTCGGGTTCCACAGAATCTACCGAGCAACTTTCTGTACCACCGTTTGCTATGATGACTGTACACACAGTGGTGGGTGTGAAATTTTCTAGCATGGTTCCTGGTACAGTAGTCTGGCTCAAACGGAAGACATGACAGGCGTGTTATGTAATAAGAAACAAGGACAAACCATGTCTGGCTCATCAGGACCATCACATGTATATTAATAAGCCTACCTGTCACACATAAAATTGGAATTCCTTTTTATTCCCACATACTCCTTCATCTCCATTTCTCCTCGAATCTTGCCCATATTCATTAACTGCCTCTAAAAGCTTATACTATTATGTTATCAACAGAAATAAGTCATGGTTCAGGCAGATGCCAATAATTTTGGGGGAAGGTATTAAAGAGGTTGTGATTTCACCATGGGTTTGCTCTTACGAGCTCATTTTCTGCCTCCTCCAAAGCCTCCC